GGCGGGAGCGAGCGAGGCGACAGCGCGCGGCCAAGCACCGGCGCAGCATGACCGCCATCGCCGTGCAGGTAGCCCGAGGGCAGGTGGGGCGCTGAGCTGGGGGTACTGTCCCATCCTGGGGAGGGAAAGAATGGGGGGTTGCACCCACTGTGAGTGCAAGCGCTCCGCCGTGCCCGCCTCCTGTGGCAAGTCTGCGGGGTCCCCAGGAGGTTGGGCGAGAAGCAAGCTGGGGGCGCCCGCGCGTAACGCTGCTTCTGTCACGGCCTCCCCGGTCCACTGCTCGTGGGAGGACTTCTCCTAGAGGTCACCAGTGACCTGTTGATAAGGGGGAGAGGGTCGCCTCGTTTTTAAGAAATGGGGTGCATCTTGGGTGGAAGACCGACAGAATTGATTTTCAAAGTGAGGCTTGCTTTATATAATAGATGCGTCTCTCCGAAGCCAAAGCATTGTGAGGCGGGGTCTAGAAAGACCACCCTCCTTACCCCGAACGGTGTTTGGGAGCTGGGTAGCAGCGGTGGGCTCGCTGGGGAGGGTGGCCGTCTCCGAGAGAAGGCTCTGGCGAGGGGGAGAAGCCCGCACCTCCGGAGAGTGGGTTTCCCCCTAGAGCGGTGCGAGATGTTTATGTTGGCCGGGAACCTACGCGTTCCTACTCCTTGGCCTCGGGAAGTCAGCGGGTGGCGGTACCGCTACCCTGCGGCGAGCTTCCTTTACACACTGGCATTCCAGGGCTCACCTCCTCCAGAGTCTGTCCTCGGCACTGTCCCGGTGTTTATAGAGGTCGTGGACTTTGCCTGCAAGTGCTCGGTCTCCCATAACTCTGACTTAGTAGATATTATTGGGCCCATATTATAGATGCGCAGCTGAGTCTCGCAGGGAAGTAACTGCCGATTGTGGCCAGCTAATTAACAGAACAGAGATTCGAACTCTGGACTCCTGACTCCAAATACCCATGCGCCTCCTGCCTTTTATAGTAGGAAAAACCCCACCCACAAGGCATCCCCCAAACCCCTTAAAGCCAGGACCCAGCGCTTGGGTGGGGCAGGGAGTGGAACAGAGTGGTTCCTCTTTGTTCTGGAAGGGATTTTGAATCGGGATCAGGCAGCCTCCTGAGATGGGCAGTGGGGAAGGGCAGTCTTTCGCTTCAAGGAGTTTACAATCTATTTGCGGAGGGAGACCCGAATGTTAAATTTGGAGTTGCAAAATCTACCTGAGGATTAACTTCAGTTGGAGAAGAGGGCAGCTGCCTGCCGGGCTAAGGGTGTGGCGGGAGAGAGTGGAAGCTAGGTGGGGGGTTGTCCGTGGAAGAGGAGGGTGCTGGAGGGGTCCAGTGGGGCTGCGTGGAGCCAAGGACGCCGCTCTGAGCTGGGGAAGGCTGGGCCAGTGTGTCCCTGACAGGAGAGTGCGTATCCCCCTGCTAGGCAATGTGCTGAGCCTTCAGGGTGAGTATTGTTCACCCCCCCCACACACACACACACACATCATAGGAGGCAGAAGCTCCTGTCTCTGCTTACAGGCGAGGAAACGAAGAGAAAGAAAGGATAAAGAACTTGGCCAGAGATCAGACACAGCTCAAAAGCAAGCTCTGGGTCATGCAGGAAGGGGTGGGCCAGGCGGGCGCTGAAAAGGAGCAAGCAGAGGCAGGCTGATTCTTCAGAAGGTTGTTGACGAGGTTTCGGTATGGAGATGATGGTGGTGATGACGAAGGCCTCTCCAAGCCTGGGCAGAGTGGTAAGGAAAAGAAAATCTGGGCGATGCTTTGGGGATGTGAGGGATGGGTAGAGAGGAGCCCAGGGTGTCTCTGAAGGGACTGCGAAAAGTTCCTGGGGAAATGGAATTAAACTACAAGTTTATTGTAGCTCAAAAACTTTTGAAATCCATGCAGTTTTTCCATTATATGCATTTTCCATGAACTTTATGAAGCCCCTCCCCTCCCCCACCCAGTTCTTGGAGGAGCTATTGGTTGAGAGGAGCAGATGAGGACCTGGGTTTTTATGGGAGGCCAAGACCATGGCATTGGATTGAGTGCCCCACTAGTGTCAAGTGACGCTGTTCTTCAGGTCGCTAGAAATTATCTGGGGGTATAGATGATAAATGGAAACCCTTGCATTTTTATACCAGAGGAAGACAAGACCCTGAAAGGTCCGATTCATTGCTGAGGTAGGCGGCGGGGGCCACAGGTCAGGGCAGGCTCAATCGCCCTCTTCCCTTCCTTACTGCACTTCCACTCACCACACTGGTTGAAACAAGAGTTGCTCCTGCATCTGGGGTACTTAGCAGACAGTCTTGCTGGGGCTCTGACCCCGGGAGCCTCCGGGCACTGCCCTCTCCCCCACCACACATACACACCACCTGTCCTGGGGAAGATTTCAGGCTCTGGATCACTGAAAGCTAGCACACATGTCAGCAGCATGAAGTGAGGTGCCGGTGGAATGAAGACTCCAGTAGGTGTTATTATTATTTGTAATATTTCTTTAAGTTTCTTGCTCTCCTGGGAGAGAAACACAGCATCCCCATGATGTTGTGTGATCCCCCCCCAGCCTCAGCCAGCCCCAGATCACAAGCATGCGCTTGCCCAGCACACAGAGAGGTGTCTGGAGTGAATCCAGCACCTTTTCATGTGGGTCTGTCTTGCAGAGTGTTGCATTTTTCCACTGTTCTGCGCCCTTTCCTGTATTATTAGGAGCTCCTGAGAATTGGGAGCTGCCCACAGGCCATGCATCTTTACACACGTGATCTCACGGAATCCTTGGGAACGTGAGAGCTTACATGAAGCCTTGCTCTGGGATGGGAGGGGAGATAGATGGAATGAGGTCAGCTGTCTTCTCTTTCTGATCCTGTCATGATGTCTCAGGGCCTGGAGATTAAAGTCCAGTCTGTGCCCAGGATAGGTGGGGCCGAGGACGGGACAGGATGTGCTTGTTTTCCAGACACTGTGATGTCTAGGGTCAAAAGGTTTCTGGTTCTTGGGTCCTGTGATTTGTTCTCTGCGTGTGGGGCACTCCCTTCCTAAGACCAGATCGAGCTCTGGGTACAGAGTAACCTTGCCAGGTGCCTTCATGGTCATCACTTTCCTGCAGGTGTCACCAGCTTCGCTGTATAGATGAGAAAATGAGGGCCGAAGAGGTTAAGAAACTGCCCGGGGACAAACACCTTTAATGATGTGTAGAGTAGACACAAAAGCTGCCTGGATGCTCTCCCCCCCCCTCGCCTTTTACATTTTCTTTCTTCTGAGAAAGAGAGAGAGGCGCTCTAGGGTCCTCATGCTGTGGTTCACCCCAGCTCAGCCAGCAGGCTCACAGACAATCTTCACCCCACTACCCCCTCACGAGAGTGGTAAGGAAAAGAAAATCTGGGCGATGCTTTGGGGATGTGAGGGATGGGTAGAGAGGAGCCCAGGGTGTCTCTGAAGGGACTGCGAAAAGTTCCTGGGGAAATGGAATTAAACTACAAGTTTATTGTAGCTCAAAAACTTTTGAAATCCATGCAGTTTTTCCATTATATGCATTTTCCATGAACTTTATGAAGCCCCTCCCCTCCCCCACCCAGTTCTTGGAGGAGCTATTGGTTGAGAGGAGCAGATGAGGACCTGGGTTTTTATGGGAGGCCAAGACCATGGCATTGGATTGAGTGCCCCACTAGTGTCAAGTGACGCTGTTCTTCAGGTCGCTAGAAATTATCTGGGGGTATAGATGATAAATGGAAACCCTTGCATTTTTATACCAGAGGAAGACAAGACCCTGAAAGGTCCGATTCATTGCTGAGGTAGGCGGCGGGGGCCACAGGTCAGGGCAGGCTCAATCGCCCTCTTCCCTTCCTTACTGCACTTCCACTCACCACACTGGTTGAAACAAGAGTTGCTCCTGCATCTGGGGTACTTAGCAGACAGTCTTGCTGGGGCTCTGACCCCGGGAGCCTCCGGGCACTGCCCTCTCCCCCACCACACATACACACCACCTGTCCTGGGGAAGATTTCAGGCTCTGGATCACTGAAAGCTAGCACACATGTCAGCAGCATGAAGTGAGGTGCCGGTGGAATGAAGACTCCAGTAGGTGTTATTATTATTTGTAATATTTCTTTAAGTTTCTTGCTCTCCTGGGAGAGAAACACACAGCATCCCCATGATGTTGTGATCCACCCCCAGCCTCAGCCAGCCCCAGATCACAAGCATGCGCTTGCCCAGCACACAGAGAGGTGTCTGGAGTGAATCCAGCACCTTTTCATGTGGGTCTGTCTTGCAGAGTGTTGCATTTTTCCACTGTTCTGCGCCCTTTCCTGTATTATTAGGAGCTCCTGAGAATTGGGAGCTGCCCACAGGCCATGCATCTTTACACACGTGATCTCACGGAATCCTTGGGAACGTGAGAGCTTACATGAAGCCTTGCTCTGGGATGGGAGGGGAGATAGATGGAATGAGGTCAGCTGTCTTCTCTTTCTGATCCTGTCATGATGTCTCAGGGCCTGGAGATTAAAGTCCAGTCTGTGCCCAGGATAGGTGGGGCCGAGGACGGGACAGGATGTGCTTGTTTTCCAGACACTGTGATGTCTAGGGTCAAAAGGTTTCTGGTTCTTGGGTCCTGTGATTTGTTCTCTGCGTGTGGGGCACTCCCTTCCTAAGACCAGATCGAGCTCTGGGTACAGAGTAACCTTGCCAGGTGCCTTCATGGTCATCACTTTCCTGCAGGTGTCACCAGCTTCGCTGTATAGATGAGAAAATGAGGGCCGAAGAGGTTAAGAAACTGCCCGGGGACAAACACCTTTAATGATGTGTAGAGTAGACACAAAAGCTGCCTGGATGCTCTCCCCCCCCCTCGCCTTTTACATTTTCTTTCTTCTGAGAAAGAGAGAGAGGCGCTCTAGGGTCCTCATGCTGTGGTTCACCCCAGCTCAGCCAGCAGGCTCACAGACAATCTTCACCCCACTACCCCCTCCCGCATGCACAGGGAGCCCTCAGCTACGAAGCCAGGACCTTCCTGTGGGGGTCCAGCTGGGCTACCATGGTCCCCATCTGGCCCTACCGGGGTGCTCTTTACAGTGCCCCAGTCTCAGGACCCAGATCGAGGTCCTGGTCCTAGCTTTCGTATGGCCCTTTGGGTATCCCTCTGTCCTCTAATCCCTTTCCTTACCAGCATGGAGGCCCGAGCACAAAGGCACCATCGGAAGGCCCAAGTCAGGACAGTTATTAGTGACGTGGAGCCCACATCCTGCACATGCACAGTTGTCTGGGCAGCCGTAACAAGCTTTCCTGTCATCTAGGTGAACGATCTTCCCTCTAACCTACCTCCTATGGAGGTTCCCACTCTACCCACCTCACAGCTTTCACAATAAAATGGGGTCTCAAAACAGGCCTCCCTTTTTTTTGCTATAGGGTGCATGTGCTCACCAGAGAGACAGCGATAGAAAGTGAAAAATCACTCCCCTGGGTGGATGGCCATGGCCTCTGCCCTCCTCCTGGGATTTTGGGCAGCCTGGACCCCGCATAGGATGAGTTTTAGGCCTCTGGGTCTGAGACTCGAACCGCAGTTGACTACGTGGGAGTCCAGTGATGTAACCATTACGCCACCTGCTGGTCCCCAGGCCTCATCTTTCCGTCTCTGTCCCTGGGGTTGAAAGTACTGTAGCTCCTCCACCTGGGGCATGTGGGCAGACAGTCTTGCTGGGGCTCTGACCATGGGAGTCTCCCGAGGAGTGAGGCTGCTTTATGTCCCTCATGGAGAGTGTGGCCTGGACATGGCTCTGGAAGCCTTATGTGGCACAAGGTGCACCCCATAGTGGCCATCTCCATTCTCCTGGCTTCCTAGCTGTGACAGTCATGTGTGACCACTTACCTCCCAAGTAGGGATATAACCTGGGCTGCTTGAGACACACCACAGAGGGGGTGATGAACGGCTCGGCAGGGGACTTGGTTTAAAGGGGATTTAGGTGGGAGTAACAGTGGTTGCACGAATTATTATTATTATTATTATTATTATTATTGCACAGGGCACCTTGCCCTCCTAGAGGACACTGTGTCTGTGTGATACAGACAGGAACATGTATCTACAAACTGTGATCAGAACGGTGAAGAATTAACAGGATGCCTTGCAGAGAATACCAGGAGGGGACCCACTGTGGGTTGGGTGGGCAAGGAAAGACCTCTGGGGAAGTGACTTTGAGCTGAGATATGAATGGAGGAAAGGAGTTGACCTGGGGGACAGAGAAAGCTGTAGAAGAGCCTTTCATGTGGAAGAGGGACCAGCAGGTCTGAGGGAAGAAGGTTCTAGATGTGGAAACAGGACAGCCATTCCTGAGTGAGGGGTGAGGGCCAGTGCGCTGGGAGATGTAGGAGGAGAGATGGTGAGGGGTTGGGTGGGGCAGTGGCTGTGGTTCCCACAATTACTCTCTGCAGCACCTTTCTTTAGCTCTCTTGGCCAGGGCTTGGGAGTGGTGCCCAGTGGTATTCCAAAGATAAGACACCTCACTGGACCTTTAACCCAGCTTGCCACAAGCCCAAGGAGGTGGGGACACACTCTTCCAAGGCTGGGACCAGAGGCCTAGAGAGCCTGGAAGCTGCTAGAGCAGTTTGGCTGGCCAGCTCTGGGAGGGGTCTAGGCTGCCCGAGGCTGAGGGGTAAGGCGCACGTATCACTATCAGTACTGAGGGAACAAGGTGGTAAGGGCAGGACTGTGGAGAGTGCAGGGTCACATGTGGGGGGAGAGCCAGACTCCTGCATCCTGGGAAAATGGAGGGAAAGGGAACCTGCTTTGATATGCTCATGCTCCCAGTGTTCCCATGCTCGGCACAGCCCTGCAGCCCTGCTCTTATTTTTCATGCAAAGAAATCAAGGTCGCATGAGCCAGCCAAGACAGGTTTTCAGATTCCTAGAATTGACGAGGATTTGCCAGTCACTATAAAGATCATGAAAGGAAGAAAGGTCAAGGAACCTGTGCCTGGTAAACACTGGACAGTACAAGCCTAGAATGGAGAACGGCAGGTGGAATGGGGAAGAGTCTCCAGAGAAGGGGGTCTGTACTGTGAGTCTGTGGGTCTGTGAGTGTGGGGGTTGTTGCAGACCTCACCAGCAGAAGAACTGGCCAATGCAATTTGGAACGCATGTTCAGGGGTCTTCACTGAAGTACCATTCCCTGTGGTGTCTTCTAGGCCCAGAGGCTGTTGGGCCCCAGGAGGCCCCACCGGCGGTCCTTCTTCGAATCATTTATCCGGACCCTCATCATCCTGTGTGCTGCCCTGGCGGTAGTCCTCTCCTCGGTCTCCATCTGCGATGGGTACTGGCTCCTGGCTGGGGATCGCGTCTTTGGGCTGTGGCACTTCTGCACCACCACCAACCAGAGTGAGATACATTGTCTCAGAGACTTCAGTGGAACCGGTGTGCCTGGGCTCCCCATGGTCCTGGGCCTGGCCCGCAGCATGGGTGCCTTGGCCGTGGTGGCTGCCATTTTTGGCCTAGAGCTCCTCATGGTTTCTCAAGTGTGTGAGGACATCCACTCCCGGCGCAAGTGGGCCATGGGCTCCATCCTCCTCCTGGTCTCCTTCTTCCTGTCTTCTGGGGGGCTCCTGTGTTTTGTGATCCTTCTCAGGAGCCACATCACCTTCATGGGCTTCACCCTGACGTTCTGGTGCGAGTTCACTGCCTCCTTCCTCTTCTTCCTGAATGCCATCAGTGGCCTTCACATCAACAGCATCACCCATCCCTGGGAACAACCAAGGAAATTCTAAGCCCCCTCCAGTGACATCACATTCTACAGGAAACAACGGCCAAGATGGGACCTTTCCTCTGGTGGGGCTGGAGTGGGACAGTGACCTTGAAACTGCTGCCTCTTTGCTGCTAACTTCTGGGTGGTTGGCCAGAGATGGCCTGGGGGCCTCTGCAGCTGGTCTGTGGGGTAGGAGGCCAGGAGGGTGACTCAGCGCCACCATCTACTTAACCAAGTTATTAGGATGTTGATTTCGGAAGAAGAGAAACATTTCAAAATTCTTCTTGAGTGTTCTTCCCTAGGCTGGAATAGACCCGAAGCAGCATGGGGACTGGTATCCGGGCTAGCTGCATAGCCACACGTGGCTCACAGCTGGTTTATTGGCTGTGCTGTGGGATGCCTGGGGCTCCCAGGGTTACTCAGGATGGCTCCAGCTGACGGTCCTATCAGTGCCTAGGACTTTCCTCCATAAGCACTGAGGACCTTCGTGCACCTTTCCCTGGCTGCAGCTTTGGTCATGCCAGGAAGGCAGAGCTGAGGATTCCCTCAGATGTCTTATAGCTAGTGAGTTTTTCCAATCATTTGCTTTAATCCCTGCACTTTGTGAGACCCTCACAAACCCCAGTCACCAGCTGCCAGCATCTGGCCATCTTTTCCAAGGGCTCTCCCTGTCAGAGTCTCACCTGAAGTTGGATTTTGCTTCTTCTAGAGTTCCTAAGCAAGCTCCCCTGGGAGGGGTCACCTGACTTCTAACACACAGCCCTCCTGAGGCCAGCGTGTGCACATGTCCAGGTTTATAAGGGTCAGACAGCCTCAGGGCACCATTTTTGGTCCTAGAACACATTTTAAAGAGCACGTAACTAGCCCTGCTGGATTCCGGAGGGGGTGAGGGGAATAGCTAGATCTTGGGTAATGATTAACAACCCACTCAGGGATGAGTGTGGGAAGGGGGCAGAGACTTTGGAGATTTCTATCCGTACTGGCAAATCCGCATTTTTTAAAAGTTCATTTATTTCTTCCGTGAGAGAGACACAACACCCCAATAGGGTGTTGATGCTGCAGTCAACCCCCTAGGCTCAGCCAGTCCCAGATCATGGGCGCGTGTGCTTGGCACACTCAGGGACGTCTCCAGACATGAACTTGGACCTTCCCATGTGGGTCAACTTCACAGAGCATTGCTTTACCACCACAGCGCTCACTGTCTAGCCTCCCGATGGCATTTTTGTTAGCCAGATCATCCCCTTGCCAGTCTCTTTTCTGCCCAGAGTAGGTGAGGTTTTTGCCCTAAGCTTGTTTCATTCTATACTGGCCTTACTTGGTTCATTCTGGCTTCCATTTGTTACATAGGTTCCTGGTCTCTGCCCTGCCCTTGTCACTGCAGATCCCCTTCCTAGGCCGGACTGAGTGCTAACACCTACCTATACCATGACTTAATAGTTCTTACTCCTGCGGCAGTGTGGCCTGGTATGCAGGACTGTGGACTCCATTCCGAAACGACCACGATACACGCACCGACCAGGATACCCGGAGTCCAGTGCGATCACCTGAGAAGGAAAGGTTTCTCTGGACTGTCTACACGCTCATCAACCATACAGGCTGGAGCTTAGCCTGAGACATGGGGGCCTGGGGGTGGCTGTAAGATGCAAAGGGGAGGTGGTGTGGAAGTGGGGAGCCAGGGTCCACAGAGAGATGCTCTTGTCCAGGAACCCCCACAGCCAGGACTAGAGCTTGGTCACTCACGAGGGAGAGGCTTTTCTCTGGGGAATCATCTCCAGTCCCTCCTCTCTAGGGTGCTTGAGCACTGCTGGGTTGTGCTTCACAAAAACATTCAAAAATTTGGTCTTCTTTCATCCTCACATGAGGGGCAGGGGCAGGGAGTGCAGGTATTCAAGGGAAGTGAAGGGTCAGACTAAAGTCCCCAGGAGCTTAGGGTAGGAGACAGGCCCCTGTCCTCCTGGACCTGGGGACGGTGAAGGCAAAGACAGCCTTGGAACATCAGCATTGATAGTAAAATGCTCTGGACTGAACTCTGGCCTCTCCCAGCTGTAGCTTGGGCAAGTCTCGTGGCCTTGGTGAACTTGCTTCTCACCTGTGAAACGGGATCATGCCCATTTCCTGCTGTACTTGCCTCCTAGGCTGAGGACAGCTGTGACAGAGCAGTAACAACAGGTGTGCCTCGCACCACATCAGGGCTACTAAAAGGGGCTAGAGGTTCCAGGGCTCTCCTGGCCTCCACATGACTATTAGCAGTTGTCCTGAGGCTCAGGTGAGAACAGTCAGGTGAGTTGCAGGGGACCAACAGGGATTTCTTGGGGTCCACGGCCTTGACTGCTCATGTTTTCTGGGCTTCTAAGCTGGAGGCCCAGGGAAGCCTGTCCTGCAGGAATGGTTGAGGCTGGGGAAGAGAGCCAGAGTGTCCCACCTCACCTGTGTCCTGGTGCAAAAGGACTGACAAATACAAACCGAGTCCCTCCCCGGTAGCATTTATTTCGCTGCCCCTCCTGGGACCCCCGAGCTGCTCTTCTCAGAAGAGCACAGCAGATCCGAGTCCTAGGCCCTCGTCCACCCTTTGGTGCCCAAAGTCCTTTGGTTTAGTCCTGAGGATCCCAAGTGCTGGGAAGGGGTGTTACCAGCCATGGGACCATGGGATGGCTGCTGGGAAGACAGGTCCCACAGCGGCGTCCAGCTCTCTCGGGATGCTTTTCGGTTCCTGTCTGTGGGTGGCCCTGCTCCAGCTTGTCAGATGACGCTTGCCCTGCAGATGTCCCGACTCTGCCCTGAGGTGCTGGCCTTGGTGCTCTGGGTGAGCCCACTGGGACTGTTGCTGAAGGAAGAGCTGAGGGCCATCGTGCGCAGTGGGAACTCATGCTGGTGCCACTGCCGCCACTTCCTCTGAACCTCCAGCTGCACCTGCCAGAGACCAGCCATCAGCCCTGTGTCCAGAGCCCCACTTGCTCTCCAGGGTCTTCTATGCAGGCCATTGGATCCTGCAGGCCACTAAGATTGACCATTTCCAGCCCCCATGTCCAGGAGGTGCTGAGGGCCCCTCTACCAGGCACACTCAAATCTGCGATCTCATTACACTGTGTCTCAAGAAAGAACCTGTGCTTTGTGTCTCAAACCCAGACCTCAGACATCCAGACCTGCACCTGGGGCACATGGGTGTACAATCCCATGAAGCCACCAGAACTCAGCTTGTCTGGGCCCTGGGAGTTGTTCTATAGAGATTTCCTCCACAATCCCCACCAGAGCAGCTGGCTGGGCTAGGTGTTTGGTTTTGGAAAACATCAGAGGTCATTTCCTTCAAGTGGAACCAGAGAGATGGTGGACAGCCACAGAAAAGCCGTGCTGTGTGCAGTATGCGTGTCCTGATTCAAACACTCTGGGCAAGGCCAGAGTCCTCAAAATAAGCATGTCCCCACCCCCCGCCGGGAGGTCAGCACTCGTCTGAGTGTCTGAGGACAGAGCCACGGACATTTCTCGATCACCCATTTCACATATGAGAGGACTGAGCCCCAGAGAAGGGCTGCAGCTGAGATCACCCATTGGGCAAACAGCAGAGCAGTGAGGTTCTGGCTGGGATGCCTCGGCTTCCCTCCATGTTTTCCAAACTTACCCATGGATAAGAGTCACCTGGAATGCTTGTTAAAAAAATATTTTAACATTGGGATCAGCAGGTTGCTACATCACTGGACTCCCGTGTAGTTGACCACGGTTCAAGTCCCAGGCCTGGCAGCCTTAAAACTCACACAAGGCATGTGTGTATGCATGGCCAAAATCCCGAGAAGAGAATGGAGGAGAAGGGATTGTGGTGTGCCAATCCCCCCATGGGAGGTAATTTCTTGCTTTCTGTCTCTCTGTCTGTCTGTCTGTCTGGTGAGCACACACACCCTAATGCAAAAATCTCTCTAAAGCAAACACAGAAAGCCATTTTCTCAGGATCAGCAGGTCGCGTGGTGGTAAAGATGCTGGACTCCACATGGCCAACGTGGTTTCCAGTCCTGAACCTGGCATGATTTTCAAACCACCTGAGGCATGTGCATGTGTGTCTCAAATTCCAATAGAAAAGAGAAGGAATTGTGGTGTGGCCATTGCACCTTGGGGTGATTTCTCACTTTGTCTCTCTATGGCCCTATAGCAAAAATTATTTTTTAAAAAATTGTTTTTCTCAGGCCCCAGCCATCCAGAATCCATTTTGGCTGAGCCAGAAATAGAGCAAAGTCCAGAAATGGTTTCAACAAGCCCACCAGGCAATTCTGTTACCCTCATTGCCTAAGCTCAAGCTCCTAGAAGACTAGGAAAGCTGCTTCCCATGAGGCTCAGCCTCCTCTCCCCTTTCCCTTTCCCACCACCCTTTCCTGGCAGCTCCTGAGCTGGGGTCCAGTAGCTAGGAGCTCCTGCAGGCACACAGGACCATGCAGGCACTTACCTCCCCGTTGAGGAAGCAGTAGAGAATGGCCACCACCAACCCCTGCCAGAGGGAGAGAGGCAGCAGCATTTAGTGCAGGTCCCATAATCACCAGCTCCAGGCTCACCTCACCACCACCACCACTCTGGACCCCCACAGTGCCCTGGGCTATGCCTGCATGGTCCAACCTGGGCTGTGATTCCTGCAACCAAGGATGCCCCAGTGTCCATCATGGAGCCTCAAACGTGTGACATCAGTGACAGCCCTCTAAGATGGGTGAGAGTATCTCCACTTCACAGGTGAAGAAACCAAGTCACAGAGTGGGTGAGCAGCCAAGAGTTGCTGTGCATGCCCAAAGCTGGTAGTCAGCTGAGGCTGCTGCCATCTCCTGGACCCAGGGCTGCCCAGGCTTCACCCATCATGAGGTCCAGGAACACATTTCCACTATTCAGGGGAGGACAGGAGTCATAGGTGAGGGGATATCAGTTGCACTCCAAGTGTGTATAGGGTAGACCTCACACAAGCTAAAAAGTTGACCAGGTTCCACAGTTTCTATATGATTATTGAAATGAAGATTGACCAGCTACAGTACTCCAGTAATAATGCAATGCTCAGCAATGCTGAAGCCATACGGGGAGGCGCAGGCTCATGTCCTGACTTCTCCTTGTACACTCCAGGCATGCATGTAGAGCCCATGAGTCTGGCTATCTGAGGCTGGGGATGGGTCGCAGAGCAAAGACCCTGTTGGGGTGCCTGTCTTTCTGTGAGTCTCTCTCATGGAAGAAACAAAATATTTTTTTAAATGAAGACTTTTGGCTAACAGGTTGCATGGAAGTGAAGGTACTGGATTCCCCCATAGCCTGCTGCATGGTTTGAGTCCCAGACCCGGCAGCTTGAAAATCATACAGGTACATGTGCGTGCATGTGTGCCCCAAATTCCATGAGAATGAAGAAGAAGGGATTGCAACGTGGTCATTGCTGCCCTGGGGGGGTGTTTTCTCACTTTCCCTTTTTCTGTCTCTGCGAGCACATGTGCCCCATGGCAAAACCAGAAAAATAATTTTTTTAATTTTAAAAAATAAAGACTTTAGAGAAAATGTTTATGATGGGCACAACAGGGAATTAAAACAACTTGGATACAAAACTATGTACATATCATGACCTCTATTACATGAGTATGTGTGTTCACCTGTCTGTGTGTGCATCTCTGTGGATAAGAGACAAAAGTAAACACCTGTGTTTTAACAGGTTTATTTCTAAGCTATGAGATTATAGCTTTTCTTCACTTTATTGTTTATAAAATTACCTATGATAAGCAAGGATCATTTATACAATCAGAATGAATAAATTTTAGTTTTTAAAAGCAAGGTCAGCCCCATACTGTAGTGGTTAAAGCCAGATTCCACATAGCTGACCACAGTTTGCATCCTGGCCCCAGCATCTTGAAAAGCACTCTGGGTGTGTCTGCATATGTGCCCCAGATCCTGAAAGGACAGAGAAATAAAGGAGAAGGGATTGCGGGAGGAACATGTCTGAATAGGGCGTGCTTTTCCCTTCTCTCTGGTGAGCACACATGCCCTCTAGCAATTAAAAAAATATATATGATGGAGATGATGGTACTGTGGTTTGTGTGCTCTTCAATAAGTCCCTGTTTTAGAAATACATCCTAAATTTTTTATCAATGAAATAATACAATGTTTTAGATTTATTTTAAAGATGAGACTAGCAGGTACAGCTAGATATGAAACAAGATAGGCTCTTCATTTTTGTATAGGAAAGAAGTGTTCATAAACTGGTGTGCATGTACATCCGTATGTATTTTACTATGTGTGTATACATACCTAAGAACATATCTACAAGGGGACTTCCAAACATTTGTGAAAAAATGGAATTATGGTACAAGTTCATTTTAATGCAAAAAATTTTGAATCCCAGACATAATTTTTTCATAATACATATTTTTGTGAAATTTGTAAAGACCCCCCTCCATATGGAAGTTTTTTTAAAGAGGTTTTTGCCTTAGGCCATATGCGCTCCCTAGAGAGAGAGAGAAATAGACACAGTGAGAGGGATCACACTCCAGGGGGATGGCCACGCCATAATCCTTTCTCCTCCATTCCCCTCCTGGGATCTTGGGCACACATGCACACGTACCTGATGTGATTTTCAAGTCACCGGGTCCAGGACTTGAACTGTGGTTAACCACATGGGAGTCCAGCGACATAACCACTATGCCATCTGCTGGTCCCCATAAGGAAGACTTTAATTTAAAACCTTTTTATTCTTTATTCATGATATATAGGGCATGTGTGTGCAATGTGAGAGGGAGGGGAAGAGAGATTGAATACTCTCCACAGGGTCTGGTCATGCCATGATCCCCTTCCTCCAGTCCTCCAGACAATTGGATCCTGGCCACCTATGTGCATGCCCAACGTGCTTCAGGCTGTCCAGGCTGAGAGTTTGAGCGGCTATTGCCATGCGGGATCCAGCGTCCCTTGAGCAGCACGTTCCTACTACACTATGGGAGCAGGGTTATATAAAACTCTGTTTTGTTTTGTTTTGTTTTGAAGAGGGTTTTTTGTTATAGGGTGCATGTGCTCACCAGAGAGACAAAGAGACAGAGAGACAGAAAGTGAGAAATCATTCCTTGAAGGATGCCCATGCCACAATCCTTTCTCCTTTCTCCTCTTAGGATTTTGGCACAGACGCACACACACCCAGTGTGAGTTTCAAGCTACTGGGTCTGGGACTCGAAATGTGGTTGGCCATGTGGAAATCCAGCACAGTATCCACTACACCATCTGCTGGCCCCTTAAACTTTTAAAGATCCTTTTTCTTCTAAATACTTCTAAAAAATTTTGCTCTGGGATGTGTGTGCTCACCAAAGAAAAAAGGAAAGTGAGAAAGCACCTCCCAGGGGAATGCCATGCTGCAATCCCTTCTCCTCCACTCTCGGGATTTTTGGGCACACACTCAAACATGCCTGACATGTTTTTCAAGTCACTAGGTCCAGGACATGAACTGCACAGTAGGCTATGTGGGATCCAGTCACCCTAACCATGGACTGGGCCCGTAAACATTTTTATGGGAATATTAGGAAAGTGCTTTTGGTCTCTCTTGACATTTCCCTAACGGCCTTCTTTTGGGTAGTCCACAGTGCCGATCATAAGCCCCAAACCTGGGGAAAGAGAAGTCCCCATCCACATGCCAAGGTAGACCTGGGTCTCCAAGGCCGGGTCACTAACCATTTTTGTAAGATGGGTCAAGGTCTCCCATCCTACTGGACCTCAGATGCCTCAACTGCCAAAAGGGCCAGTGTGAGCTCAGCCTCCCTGGAGAGTGTAGTAAGGATATTGTAGATTATGAAATGGATTGTTCCTGTCTTTTTTTTGGGGGGGGGGCACTATTGGGGAGTTTCAAACTAAACATAGGACCTGCCTCTCTCACCTTTATAGGACTTTATCACATGTGTTTCAGTGTATGAATTTAACCAGCTTTATATTCTTTTTTTCCCCCCACTGATTCTTTATCTACTTATGTTTTATCCTCTGTTTTTCCCCAAGGCTTTTTTTTTTCACCTTAGTTTTTGAAGGAAATAGTGGTGAATAAATAACTGACATTTAGAATTCATGTTAAAGCTCTCTTCTGTCCAAACAGATGAATTAATTAATGAATTTAACCTTACAACATCACGTTGAATCAGTAGGCAGGTGATTCTCCACCTCACTTTGTTTAAGGTCAGTTTTATTTTTAATAGGTTGTGTATGCACATAAGTTTTAAAGAGTCAAGTGATTCTCATTACAAAAACACGGCAGCCTCCTGACATCCCCCCGCACCCCCTTTCCGGTTCCTTACAGGCAACTGCTTGAAACTCTCTTAACTGATTCTAAATAATGTGCTGATGTGGCTCCTTGTGGATTTTTCAGTTTGGGGCATATTCTCTGGATTTCATGTGTGAAGATGAGGATTGTTGTGTTTCAGACACTCCGCTCCACCCCATGGGTCATCCTGGGGATGGGGACTTTTCCAAGGCACAGTGCTTGCATTACTTTGTACATGTACTATTCAGAGCTGCACAGTAGAGGGTCAGGGATATTTTTCTTTTTGTTTTCTCTGGAGTTAGTCTCTCTATGTCTCTCTTTCTTTCTTTCTTGGTGAGGTTTTTGCTATAGGACGTGTGCGCTCACCAGAAAGACAGAGACAGAAAATGTGAAGAGAGACAGAAAACGAGAAATCACCCCCCAGTTGGATGGCCTTGCCACAATCCCTTCTCCTCCATTCTCCTCTCAGGATCTTGGGTACGCACGGGCACATGCACATGCCTGGCGTGAGTTTTAAGCCACTTGATCCAGGACTCAGACCATGGCCAACTAACATGGGAGTCCAGTGACATAGCCATTACGTCAATTGCTGGTCTTTCTCTGTCTCTCTTTAAAGTCATTTATCTATATATTTCTTCCATGAGCAAGAGGGGGAGGGACATAGAGACAGCTCTCTCAACAGGGTTCCAATGCTACCATCTACCCCCCACCTCCACCAGCCCAGCTTATGGGCGTGCGGGTTCTGGGTGCACTCAGAGAGGTCTCTGGAGGTGAACCCAGACCCTCCAATGTGGGTCATCCTTGCAGAGCATCATTGGTTTCCATTGCACAGTGGTCCAGCCTCCTCTGTCTCTTAGTTTCACTTCCATTCCTACTTGACTGGCAGGGACCATGGGTCTCCCTCAGAGTCACACAGTACAGTTGGGTCCTACTCCTGCTTCCCTTGGGTCTCTCTGCCAAGGGGCATCCACCCCGTCTAGCCACTGCCAAACTTCAGGAGGACCTGGCTTGCTGTTTCTAAGGACAAAGGGAATGCCTCTTAGCTTGCATGCCCCAGAGCTTACCTGGAATGAGCCAAGGGCCAGTTCAAAAAACAGCTGGATCTCCATGGCGTCCTCCGGGGAAAAAGCAAAGACGATGTAGTGGATTCCAAAAAGAGGGATCAGCAGGAGGGTCGACTTGGCCAGCCGTCTGGGGACACAGGGACATGCTGCAGTCCCTGCTCTGGCCCCTCTAGTCCTGCCCTCCCCCTAAACACACATGGGCACAACGGCTCTCATGCCTGATGGCCCAAAGATTGGCAGCAGTGTCCCTAAACTGTTTTATTTTCGATTTTTTTTTTTTGTTACTTTTCCAGAGTGTGTGCACTCACCAGAAAGACTGAGAAAGAAAGGAAGAGGGAAAAAGTACTTCCTAGAGGAGCATGGTCACACTGCAGTTCCTTTTCCATCTCACCGTCCTGTCAGGATTTTAGACACACAAACACATGCACCCAATGTGGTTTTCAAACCACTGGGTCTGGGACTCAAACCAAGTGACTGGCCATGTGCAATCTGTCTCCTGTAACCACCAGGCTATAGGCTGGCCCTAGTTTCACTTTTTATTTTGGAAAATTTCTACCCATCATCCAGATATAACACTTACCAACTCATGGCTAATCCCCAAGCTTTCTAATCACATACCTCTATCAGTTTTTTTTTTTTTTAAACAGTACTCACTCAAGTAACTTTACTTATTCATAAATTATGTGCCTATATTACTGCTACCTTATGACTACCATAATATAAGCAAAGTCAGCTTTCTTATTTGTTAAATAATAAGTATCTCTAAGGAGAAGTTCTTGTATTTGCTTCCCAGATTAGAGTTGCCAAATTTAGCAAATAAAAATACCAGTACTTGGTTATGTTTGAATTTCAGATAAACAGGGGGCACTTCTTGGGGATATAAGTACTAAACAAACAAACAAACAAACATGTTGGCACTTTTTTGGGTGTAAGTACTAAAAAACTTTGCCGTTTATCCAGAATGTAAGTATCAGGCCAGTGGCACAGTGGCGATGTACAGCTTACAGGGAATCAAATCCACATGGCAACTAAGTATGATCCTCTAGGCAACCTGTACATGCAAGCCATGTGTGCTGGGGTCCTGGCTGGCTGGAAGGCTGTGGGGAATCGGGCACTTGTCTTTGTCTCCTCACTTTGATGAGAGAAATGAACGACAAAATTCAAGTGCAACTAGCCATGCTGTATATGTACCTGGCCACTTTGTTCCGTATCCCCAGTTCCGTTCAGTTTTGGCATTTCTGCTAGAATGAGTTCTGAGGGAATCTGACACTCAGTAACTCAGGCCATGGCCAGATTCTCAAAACTCCAAACACTGCAGAGAAAGCCTATATCAGACCCCGATCTGTCCTTACCATCTGTATAGGCTGAATTGTGACCCCTCTCCCAGATTCATATGTCAAAGTCCTAACCCTCAATATCAGAATATGACTGCATCTGGCCAGCCACAGTGGCACAGGGTAGTGAAACACTTCGTGAGACTGAGGCCATATGGGAAGGTCCCAGATTCATGTCCCAAGGTCTCCATGTGTATTCTGTCCCTGATCTAGGCTGGCTTATGCTGGGGGAGGATCATGACATGAAGACCCTGTTGAGGGTGTCTCTCTCTTTTTCTGTGTCTATCTTTCTTTCTTATGGAAGAAATAAATTACCTTAAAAAAAAAAAAAAGAATGAGACAATACTTGGAGATAGGGTCTTTAAAGAGATGGTTAAGTTAAAAAGAGGCCTTTAGAGTGGGTCCTGGTACAATCAACTGGTGTCCTTATAAGGAGGAAATTCAGACATACAGACACATCAAGGATGCCCATGCACAGAGGACATAGCGATAGGGCAGCCACTCGCAAGACTAAAGTGTGTATCTCAGAAGAAACCAAACCTGTTGACACCTTGATCTTGGACATCCAGCCTCCAGAACTGTGAGAAACTAGATTTCTGTTGTTAAGCTGCCAGTCTATGACACTTTGTTACAGCAGCCACACACTAACACATCTCTCTTTAACATCCTAAAGGCTATTTTTTTTTTAAATGAAAGATCAAGAGCATGTGAGCACAGTAGGAAAAAGAGAAATAGAGTGTTTTTGTTTTGTTTTGTTTTGTTTTATTCTAGAAAGAGGAAGCAACCCACCAATGGAGCCTTACCATGGCATAATCCTTTTCCTCCAACACTCCATCCTATCAGGATACTGTGCACATGCACACTCAGTGTGCTTTTCAAACTGACAAGACCGGAATTCAAACCCTGGTCAGTCGTACAGCATCCTGCTTCCTCTACACAGTATTTAATGACTGTGCTAGGGCTGGCCTAGGTTTGTTTCAGTGGCATCTTTGACAGAATCTCACTGCTGCCATCCTCCCAGCTCTGCTACTGTGCCAGAGCTTGTCAAGTGGTCTGGGATGTGAATCTGGGCCTCCTATGTGGCCCAGCCCTGCCCAGTGGCACCTACCAGTTTCCCCCTCATGGCTAGGCCCATCTTAAAGGTTTTAAATATTTTTGAATCAAACATCTCCTTGAAAGCTTGAAGAAAGCTGAAGTCATTCTTTCCTGAAAAATACACATACCTACACAAATTTGTCTGAATTTGGGTCCCTGAAGCCCATACTCATATTACCTAGCCTTGCCCAAGGGGAAGATCTCAGCTTCCAGGCTTCCTGCCTCAGATTTCTTCACCTCCCCATCCTCTCACAGTGACTGAGGCCTCACAGTCAGACCCTATTCCCTATCTCAGCACCCCCAACACACACACCATCCCATTTATACTGTAACCTTGAGGCTTTTTCTTTTCCTCCATCTCCAGTAACTAGCACCAGCTGAGTAAACAATAGGTACTCAGTAAATGACTGGGCAGGCCCAGATCTTTGCCCTCCACTTACTTGTAATGGTTCACTTCATTTCCTCTTGTTTCTTGTGTTCTTAGTTTTCTCATTAGGATTCTTAGGATGTTTATAAAAAGGATGAAATTAATCTGCAAAACACAAAGCAGAGATGGGGCTGAGGTGTCTTGCTTTCTACGTCATCTCTCCATACCTGTCCCCTAGCTTTGAGGACGGAAAAGGTATTACAGATGCCATAGCCAGGATGGCACATCCCTGATGCTTGCCCCTGCCCCCAGGCAGACTGCCTGGTAGCTGGCCTCCAGGAGCTTTAAGGTCTGCTCATTTGCAGGGCACATTACTCACACTCACAGAGCATGGGAGTCCCCTGGGGATCTTGTTAAAGCGCAGTTCTGGGGTAGGCTTGAGATTCTGTATTTCTAACGATCTCCTAGGTAATGCCAAAGCTGATTAGTCTTACAGCCGCAGTTCAAAAACTTTAAGGTCCAGATTGCTGGACTCCAGCCCTACAATTCATGGATTAATAAATCTGGCATGGGGCCCAAGGATCTGCATTTTAGACAAGCTCTCAGGTGATGCCGAAGCTGCTTGTCTAGAGACCACGCTTTGAGAACCACTGCTTTGAAGCCTATGGAATCAGTTTGCAGCCAATCATCAGCTCCAGGAAACCACTCTGGATTACCTCTTTTCCAGATGTGTTTGTATTCAGAGATGGTGTTACTTGTGTACAAGCACTTAAAATATCTCAAAGGGGCCAAATATCTTGACTTCCTGAAGGAAAAAGATGGAGACTATTTCTTTTGGTGTCCCTGTCCTCAACCTGGTGACCAGTGCCAGGAACTTTATGAAGCACCTCCCCTCCTATCTCACCCACTGCTCCAGCACAGAGCAGGGATCAGTGGAATCACTCAGCCCCACAACCCCATGGGTCACACCAGTAAATCGGGATAGAGATAATCTAGGGTGGCTCCCTGGAGCAGATCATTGGCTGCCCAAAACCCCTTCTTCCATCTCTTCATCCTGTTGAGATTTTAGGAATGAACGTACATATGCACAGCATGATTTTCAAGCTGCTGGGGCAGGGACTTGAACCACCATCAGCCATGTATGTAGCCCCCAGGCTACAGGGGCTTCCTGAGCCATGTTTGATTTAAGAGGAAGTACTTTAGGACAAAATTTAGATTAAAAAATTAAAATAAAATTTTTTTTTAAAACCTTTAAGATCCTAAGAATGAGTTTGTTGAGGACAAAATTTAGTTTAAAAAGTTAAAATAAAAAAATAAAAAAAAAACCTTTAAGATCCTAAGAATGAGTTTGTTTTAAATGGTGAAATCCCAGGTCCCATGACAGGCTAGTAGGGAGGTATTGGGTGGTCAAAAGTTATGATGCATTTTGCATAGAAACTACATCATGACGTTTCCAGCAACCCAATGTTTTGCAGCTGGAGAGTCCATCAATATCCTCCAATCACTAGGTAGACCACAGGCCTCTGAAAGGGGCTGGTGGCCCCTCATCTGGGGCTCTCCTGGGATGGGCTATCCAAGTCCTGAATAATAGCAGAGAAACTGGCTCAATTAATGAGGAATTAGCTTCCTGTGATATTATATAGTCATAACAATTTCAAATGACGTAGGAAAGTTACATCTATTGCTAATGGGAATAAAAGAGAAAAAAAAACCCTGGGATATAAAACTGTATTTTGAAAAAGAAAAGTATGCAGGCCAGCTGGTGGCATGGTGGTTAAGGCAGCTGGATCCCATATGGCTGACAGCGCAGTCCCAGACGCCGCAGTTTGAAAAACACCCTGGGCACATGTCACTGCATGTTCAAAATCCCAAAAGGAGAGATAGAGGAGAAGGGATTGCACTGTGACCACCCCCACCAGGGGTGCTTCATCACTTTCCTTCTCTTCAGTGAATGCATGTGCCCTCTAACAAATACAAAAAGGAATAAAAGAAAAAATATGCAGACTCAAAGAAAAAGGAAGAAAAAGTGCAACACACCATTGTGTGTATCTTCTAGGTGGTTAAATTATGAATGATTTTATTCCTTTAAAAATACATTTCAGGAACCAGCAGATGGTTTAAGTCACTGGACTCCCATATGGTCAACTGTGGTTCGAGTCCTGGACCCGGTGACTTGAAAATCACGAGCCCAAGACCCCAAGAGGAGAATGGAGAAGAAGGGATTGCGATGTGGCCACCCCCTACCCCAGGGGATAATTTCTTTTTTTTCTTCTCACTGTCTCTGTCTCTCTCTTTTCAGCGAGTGCATGCACCCTAAAGCAATAAACCTCTTTAAAACAAAAATACATTTTATATTCTGAAAAGTTTTTTTTTTCATTCTATTATTTTTGAAAAACCAGAAAAATGAACAAAGATAGTCATGGAATGATACCCTCCTCCCCGCTGACCCCAGGATGTGACCCAGGCAGCCAGTGATAGAGGAGGAGGCTGTCATCCTGTCTTGTCCCTGCCTTGCCCTACTGACCCTGTAAAGGACACTATCAATTGGGTCTATAGCCTTCAGAATCCCTGAGCTATGTGGACAGTCCAGCTGAAGAGTTGATTCTATCCATGAGATGACCCTAGAGTGCCCCCAGTGTCTTCCCTCCTCTGTCGCCCTATTCTCATCCATACCCATGGCCACAGGGTTCTCAACTGTGCTACAGGATCACCTGAAGACTTAAACACAAGGCCAGTGCCAGGCTTCCTCTCAGGACAAGGAGAGTAGCTGGCAGTATTTTCTAAAAGCTCCCAGATGATTCTGAAGGGCAGCCAGAGTTCCACAGAGGGTCGTTCCCACATCTCTTCCCTGGGGTCACCCTTGTGGGCCTGCCCCCACAGTCCAATGAAGTCCTGAGACCACAGCCTCACTCAGCCTCCCCCAGCCTCCTTCCTACATCCCAGCCAGGTTAACAAAGGAATGCTCAGAGGAAGTGGAATTCCAAGCCATGCAGAGAGCATCAGTGGGAGCCAGCCAGTGTGGGGCAAGGAGTGCTCACCACTCCTTGGCCCCTACTCATGGAGAATTTTTTTTTTGAGAGATTTTTTGCTATAGGGCGCATGCGCTCGCCAGAAAGACAGAGAGAGACAGAGAGACAGAAAGCAAGAAATCACCCCCCGGGGGGATGGCCATGCCGCAATCCCTTCTCTTCCATTCTCCTCTCGGGATCTTGGGCACACACGCACATGCACCAGGCATGAGTTTAAGCCACCGGGTCTGGGACTCGAACTGCGGTTGACTACATGGGAGTCCAGTGACATAGCCATTATGTTAACTGCTGGTCCTTTGTGGGTTTTTTTTATTTGTTTGGCTTTTTTTTTTTTTTTTTTTGAGGGGCTTTTTGTTTGTTTTTGTTTTGAGAGGCTTTTGCTATAAAGTGTGTGTACTCGCCAGAAAGACAGAGAGAGACAGAAAGCCAGAAATCATCCCCTATGGAAGATGGCCACACCACAATCCCTTCTCCTCCATTCTCCTCTCGGAATTTTGGGCATGCACGCACACACGCCCAGTGTGAGCCTAAGCCACCACATCTGGGACTCGAACCACAGTCGACCACATGGGAGTCCAGTGACATAGCCATTATGCCAACTGCTGGTCCCACTCATGGAGAATTATGAGGTCATCTGCAAGCACCTGTCCCACCTGCCATTCTCTAGGGGCAGATCCTCCAGACCCCAAGATGCCACCAGTCTCAGGGAAGCCTGTGGTTTATCCCTCCTAGCACATGGAAGGGGTCCTGTCCCCTGCCCTCTATTTTGTTTCCATCTTAACCACTGGCTCCAGGCTCAGGGGAGGATGGCTACTCACCAGGATGGAGAGGATCACAGGGCCTCGAATGACCCACCAGATGGCTGCATTGGCATTGATGTCCCAGCACCTACAGGCAGAATGGTCAGGCATGGTTAGGAGTGGGAACTGAGCTGACCAGCAAAGGCACATTCCCTGAGGTGGCCCTTGGTCTGAAGGACCCATGTGTCTGGCCTTGAGTCCTGGTAGCCAATCTCCTGGCCCTTCTCAGGCACATGTGCAGAACCTGAGAGCCGGGGGATTCCAGGTCCCAAATTTTGGATATTTGGGTTGATTCCATGTCCCAGCTTGCAGTCAGAATCACTGCAGGGCAGGTGGCAAACTCAGCTGTCAACAGAGGCCAGGCAGATGACACCCATGTGTGAAGGTGCTAGGTTTCTGACATGTGATCTCGGGGGTGAGGACATCAGGCATGGGTGTCCTTGGCAAATTGGAGAGCATGTGCCTGGTCCCAGACAACCACAGCAACATGTCAGTAGACTTTTGTCACAAGGAAAAATGTCAAGTGTTAATAGAATTTTCCAGTTTTTTAGAAAGACCAAAAATTCAGCTTTTTTTAAAAAAAAATTCATTATTTCTATCTTTTTAATTTAATTTCATTTAATTTACAGTTCATCATATTTATCTTTGCAGTGTACAACATTACTTTTTTCAGCA